CCCCAAAACCCCAAAACCCCATGAGTGAAAAGATAGGAAATTAGCGAGTAATGAAAAACATCGAATAAATAGATATGAATAAATTGAATAGAAGTGATTAGAGAGATTAGTTAGGTTGAAGATTTTTATAGAAATTAATGAGTTGAACAGATATCAGGCTGATCATTGACCACCTCTGAGTCTGAGAACCAAGTGAAGGGTTGACTCCTTTTGGATGTTATAGTCTGAAAGAGTTCTTCCATCCTCAAGTTGCTTACCAGCGAAGATAAGTCTTTGTTGATCGGGTGGGATTCCTTCCTTGTCCTAGATCTTGGCCTTGACGTTTTCAATAGTATCTGATGGCTCAACATCGAGGGTAATGGTCTTACCGGTGAGGGTCTTGACGAAGATTTGCATTCCACCTCTAAGTCTGAGAACCAAGTGGAGGGTAGACTCCTTTTGGATGTTATAGTCACTAAGGGTTCTGCCGTCTTCGAGTTGTTTTCCAGCGAAAATGAGTCTTTGTTGATCGGGAGGAATACCTTCCTTATCTTGGATCTTAGCCTTGACGTTTTCAATAGTGTCAGAAGGCTCGACATCGAGGGTGATGGTCTTACCGGTAAGGGTCTTGACGAAGATTTACATACCACCTCTGAGTCTAAGGACTAAATGGAGAGTTGACTCCTTTTGAATGTTGTAGTCGCTGAGGGTTCTGCCATCTTCAAGTTGCTTTCCAGCAAAGATAAGTCTTTGTTGATCGGGTGGGATTCCTTCCTTGTCTTGAATCTTAGCCTTGACATTCTCGATGGTGTCTGATGGCTCAACGTCAAGAGTGATGGTCTTTCCAGTGAGGGTCTTGACGAAGATCTACATACCTCCTCTGAGTCTGAGGACCAAATGGAGAGTTGACTCCTTTTGGATGTTGTAGTCACTGAGGGTTCTGCCGTCCTCGAGTTGCTTTCCAGCGAAAATGAGTCTTTGTTGATCGGGTGGGATACCTTCTTTGTCTTGGATCTTGGCCTTGACATTTTCAATGGTGTCAGAGGGCTCAACGTCCAAGGTGATAGTTTTGCCAGTAAGGGTCTTAACGAAGATTTGCATATTTGGTTGATTAGTTTAATTAATTATACTTTAGAAATTTCTCCCCTTTTTATAGCCTGAATTAAGACTAAATATTTAAATTACTGATCAATACTGTTGTTCTAGAACATTTATCTTATGGGGTTTTGGGGTTTTGGGG